AGGCCGCGAATTTTCCACAATTAAGTCAATTGAATCAAGTAAATCTGCCAACCTCCTGTCCCCCTCACAAACGCTACTGTTTAGCTATTGCAACGAAGCAGCCCCCAGCCTTGAATCTGAGAGCTTTAGCTGTGACCGTCTTTTGTCAGGACGCAGCCGTTTGAGCAGCAAGTAATTAAGCGTCTTCAATTCCCTCCGGTCGGCAAAATTCCGCCCACATTCGTAATCCCCCCCACCCCCAACGATAAGGCCGCAATCATCGGAAGCGTTTCGACTGTTGCGGCGGCCTCTGAATGATTCCCTGTATGACGATTGAATGAAACCCTTCGCGTTCCAAGCATTCGCACAGATAAAGACGAAAACTTGTCTAGCACCGGATCATCAAGACACAGGGAACAATAACCAAAAACGATGGGAGGGAGAAAATTATAGAGGTATACGCGAATTAACTGTCAGTGGAGTCGAGGGTCGTTCGGAGTCATAAACAGCAATTAGTGTAGCGCCTTGCCCCCGCGGTAAGGGGTCCTGGTAATCCTGCCTCCTTATCCGGCCGGTTCGTCGTGGAGTTCTCTTCGCTTGCATTTCTTACGTTCGGTTTGACCGTTTTTGTCCCTCACTCACATAATGGCGCGATACCTTGTAGGCCGCAGGAATATCTAGATGCCTTTTGACGGAGTTGGCATCGGAGTACCATGCCTCAAGTGTCAGTATTTCGGATTTTGAGGATCCTCGGCCTATGATGATCGCTCCTTGAGTATCGAAGTCGTGGCCAGTTGCTCCGATGTGTGTGCTGCAAACTGTGAGTTTGGATCTAACCTCCGAGCCGCTGTATTGGGCGCCAGTGGATTTGCCGTCGACAATTGGGGGCCGCTCAGTTGCAGACACGTCGGTCAGTCGGTAATGATCCACCGTAGGAGAGGGACAAGAGGCCAACCGCTGCGTGTTTGCTTGAATATTCACCAGGGAATTATCTTGCTTATCGCTAGCTTCATTGATTTCTGCAGAGTCGTAGTTAGGAGGGGGGAACTCCAGATAAAGAAGATTGCGGAGAAACTGGCCTTTCGGAGAGATTTCTAGATCAGATAGGCCCCCTAGAGCCTCTTGGATTGTTTGTTTATGGTCGGCTCTGAAAACGCCTTGACTCAAGAACCGAATCGTAGGGCAGAAAGTGCAAGTACTTTTATTTGGTACAGCTGTGATCAGGCCTTATCTAACTGGTCTGGATGATGTCCTAACGCTCTACGGCAACAGATTGAGAGGGCCCGGGCAGTTCAATCCCTCCCCCAGCAACGGAAATGGGACAAAGAATGTTCAGGAACCACTTTCATGCGTTTATGCGGACAATGTCGAGCCAAACATTCAGTTGAGATCCCCTGACA